ATAGGCTACTTTTTATCCTTTTGTGACGCGAGCGAAGCCGCAGGTAAAAGCTAGTATGCAATAATGACACTTGTATTAAGAATTTATTTTTTGTTAATAAAAAAAAATATGGAATTGTAAATGTAAGTTTTTATTTTTAAATCCCTTTTTAACCATTAGTGTAAAACGCAGTTCGCAGGGAAGAGAACAGGGACCGTCAGACTCATACCGACTAAAAGCCGGTGTCCCGGTCCCGATGTTTTGTTACAACAAGCGTAATCAATTTATGATTATGCTTATTATTGTATGTTTAGAGTCTATTAATACCAAACACACATTTACGAAGGTTAGTACTACATACGTACCATACATATTCATGTTTAGATTGTGCCTTGAATAGATTCCGACTGAGGTATGGAATATAAAAACAAACACAAAAACTACTTATTGTAGGTGTGGACCTACAATAAGTAGTTAGAGTTACCAAACTCATTGATTTCCTAATGTTTTTGTTGAATCGCTTTATGTTCTTACTATGAGCCGGATAAAACAAATATGGTGGTCAACAATAACGATGATGTTTAAAAATAGAATATAACAAGGTCATGCCTAGTTTTATGTCTACAAGGTATTAAATATATTGTAATACTGATTTTATTCATAGCCCCTATAGTAACAGAGGGTGAGTCTATGACATACATCAGACTGAACATTCTATTGAGTTTACGAAAAACTGAGTAAACGCCAATAACTTTTTGTCTAAATCAAACCAGCGATATATTGCGTAGCAGCCGATTACAGGCACTATGTCAACTATCGTGTTGGATAGTATTATACATATCAATAGGTATAGGGATGGTATATCACCATCAACTTTTTTTTAAGAGAGGAAATTCATTGAATGACTGCTCCCGCCTGGGTTAGACGGGAGGGCGTGTCAGACTCTTACTGACTTAAAACCACCCCGTTCCTTCTCCTGCGCTTCGAGCCGGAGCCCCGGTAACCCGTTAGGTTCTCCGCGACTCCGAATCAGCATCAGCCCTATTAGGCCCCATCCGTGGTGGTCTGATGGCTCTTTGAGGCGCGCGCGGACGGAGGCCGGAGATCATCACGCGATCCCCGACGCCCGGAGTGTCCTTCGCGATGGCTGGGTTGCGAGGAGGCAGCACCTCACGCATCCCGCCTCCTTCTTAGCTAGCATCACTGCTTCGCAAAAGGAGGCGACGGCATCCCAGTCTCCCTCGCTCCGCATCATGACCCGCACTATGGCCAGACGCGAGAGGTCGCCATCGCCGATCACGCCCCCGAGGGCACGGCGTTGCTCAGCCCACGCAGGGCATTCCGCTACAGTATATTGCAACGTGTCTTCAGGGCGGTCCTCACAGTGATGACACCCGGTACCACCCGAAACTTCCATGTCTGGTGAGGACCTGCGTCAGGCGGTAGGTGAGGACGCCGTAGCGCTTCTCAAGCCACTTCTCAAAGAGGGAACTTACCGCTGCAATGCCAGCGAGCCCACAACTCGGTTGCGACAGTCGCTGGTGCCATTCTGCCATGAGATGACGCCGGAGCTCTTCCCGCCACGCACTTATCTGGCGCAGCAGCGGAGTTTCGCTCCGGCGACATGCCTCCGCGCGCATACCATACACGCGCGCGAGCACCTTCGCATCCAGATCCCTCGGCGGTAATCCGGCAAGGAGGTTCGCCGCCTCCCCGGAGATCGTGCGATCGCCACAAGCTGTGATCATAGGAATACAAGCATCGTTCATTGACGACTTATCTCGCGACATTGTAAAATTGTAAATAATTGCATGAAGCGTGCCGATTGTTTATCATTAGGTGATGCATCTGCTCATTTGCCGGCCTATCCCATAAAAAAATCTGTCCGTAGTGAACGGACAAATTGTAAAAGAAATTACTAATTTCACAATTTATAATTACTTGATAGGTCGATATTAGCAATAATTCATGCTGTAGAATATAGTTGGGAACTTGTCCATGTTTCTTTTTTGAAATTACGATTTTCTCATGTGTCACACAAAAACCAAAGGATCCAACCCACTACACGTCACACGACAGCCAGTTGCTTCTCAGTTAAGGAGCCATCCATGTATTCTCTCGTTGCAACCGTTCGTGCTGGAGAATAGAGTTAAGAAATACACAGTACAGTAGAGTTGATGAAAAAAATGATCCTAATTTTAAATCCAGTAAGTAAGGTATATTACTCAAATAGCTCGGAGAAGTTACGATGATTGATTACACATCCTCCACTGGATAACCTTTTGGCTCAATCGCGGTCACTATCAGTGCAGCATAGGACGTTCACCTGCTTGGTGGATAGACGACCTGAGAAAGGTCGCAGAAAGCCGGTACATACAACTTGCTCCCAACAGGTCGGGTATTTAGATATCAATGACAAATGTCGTTAAGAAACCTTTGTTGATTATTTCTAAATATAAGTTTTTTAAGTGTGGGAAAGCTATGCTTCGGCACGAATGGGCCGGGTCGACCGGAGTGATACTACACGGCTTATGGACGTGAAACAATGTTTGTATCGTGTGAGCGAAGTTAACTGAGATATTATTATATAATTTGACAATTACACCCTCCCTTCCCCAATCTCGCCCGTCCCTAAATCCCCCAATCCTCATATTCTTAATTCCCAAAAGGCCAAACGCACTTGTAGCGCTTCTGATGTTCCCGATGTTCATGGGCTATGCCAATTGCTTACCATCACGTGGAGGCCTTTGTTTAGCAATAGGCTGTTGATTTATGAATGGTTTAAGAATCCTACTAATATTATAAATGCGGTAGTTTGTATGTTTGTTTGTTCGTTACTCCTTCACATTAAAACGGCCATAACGATCGAGATGAAATTTGGCACAGGGTTAGGTTATGGTCTGGAATTGTCAGGCCTTTTATCCTACGGGAACGCGAGTGAAACCACAGGCAGTAGCTAGTATTCTTATAAAGATTTGTATCCAACTGAACAATGCTCCAAAATATCTTTATCGTGTGTTTGCCGAGAAGGGTGCGCTCTATTGACTTAGGCTTAGGCCACTCATTTACTCAATGTTTATTTTTATCTGTTTATATATCAATATTAAACCTCTTTTAGTACTTTTCTATTCTTCTTGGAGTTTTTGCTGAAGCATTGTTTTATTTGAAGTATCTACAGACTTCTGTGGTTTTAATTATCTTTGTTTTTATCTTATTGAGGTATTTCGTTTTAAGTGTCTTTACGGTTAGTTATTTTTATTGGTCGTATTCTAATGCTTGTTTCTACTATCTTGATGTAGTAAGTGAATAAAAGTAGAGCACAAGAAATCTACATCATCAACCCGTCCTGTTTTGGTCTATGAGTATCTACATAAAATTCATAAAATAAAATCTTTTTATATCAGACATATTGAGTCCATACACAATTATTATATAAATATATTCTTTCCATGAATATTTTACACATTTTTTTTTCTTCTTTGGCATACACAATTTTTACTTGTACATTCAAAGACTTGATTTAACATTGAAAAAGTTCTTGACAACCTTATCTTATTTTTTTAAGGTGTAAATATTTTAGTTCATAGTTATTTATATTTTAAGTTGTATATATTTTCAATAGAAGGATAGTTTTTTTTAAGTTTTTGAGATAATGTTGTCAATATATTATTAATTTAATTTAATTATTTACATTATAACACCGCATTATAAATCTTTAATTTATTATGTTATCAATTTAGGGTCGATTTTTCAATCATCAATTAATTTTTAACTGTAGAATAAAACTGACATTTTGCAGTTTTTAGTATGGAAGAATTGTCAAATATTGAAAGTTATTCATCAGTTAAAATTTAACTGAAAATTGCATTGAAAAATTGAGCCTTAGTCAAAGTCAATTTAGATAAAAATATCATCACATCTAACAAGAAAAAGAAGAAATGAAAAACAATATTATTTTTAACAATAGGTTTGCTATAATTCTTAGACTTGGCAGTTCGGTTAGAGATCTCAGTTTAAGAGCTCGTACACATAAATTGCAATGCGACATCGCATCGCAAAAATGTGCGAGCTCCTCTACGCATCGCAAGAACTTGCGAATTGAATCGCATCGCGCATCAAAATCTTATCTTCCCAAAATCTTCTTCGTTTCTTTTCCCTGTATCTCCTAAAAAATAACAGAGGTGCACACTTCTTTTTACGATCAATTTACGGTAGTAGTAGTAGTAGTTAGTACGGTTGACAGTCGTCGAAGGAATGGTCACCCTGGGAGACCCCTTTTCACACAAAATCGCGTCGCAGCAATTCGCATCGTAATTTTATGTGTTGCCGATTCGCATCGCAGTTTTGTGTACGAGCTCTAAGGGCCGATTTACTCAACGCCAAATAAATTTTTAAATACAAAATTGACAATTTTATTCTACCTCTACAGTTCAAAATTACTGATGATTGAAAAATCGGCCATAAATGATCAGATTTATCAGGGCTCTTTCTATCAAATAGGTAGTCTCTTAATTGGTTCTTGCGAGGCCCGCTTGGAAGAGTGGATGTGACAAAAGTATTCTACAAGGCCGTTGACTAACCGCTTAGACAACAGAGAACAACAGAGCCAGTTAGACAATTTGTTAAACAAGAAAGAACTATTCCTTCAATATAATAAATATCGGGAGACAAGCTGGATTAACTAAAAATTAGAAGTTACTCACATAAATATATTGAGAAAAGCTCTACTAGTTTAGCAGCCTACTGGTAGGCCGTGCGACATTGCCATGACCGCGCACGCTACTCATGAGGAAGAGTTCCTCTGTGACTCCGAAACTAGCTGAGCTTTTCACAGTTCAACTTAGATTTGAGTGAATTTTACTAGTAATTTTTAGTTACATATTCTTTAACTCAAATATTTGAGGTTCAACTGTTAAAAGTACGTTGGTTGGCAGTGCCTGTGACTGTGACCAAAACTGCGATTAAGGTGTTAAATTAAAATAAAGAATACTTGTATTGTTTATAAATTGTTTTATTATTAAGTGTCACAACAAAAACAATATAAAAAACTACCAATATACAATTATACAACTTAAAAATAACGTTTCAATATCACAATGTTTCAATCACTATATTTTTATAATGCTTTTTTATTATCATATTTTCTGGTATGTAATGAAGTAATGATTATAGAGGTAGAAAAACATACTAAAGCTTACTCACGTAACAACTCGACGAGTTAACTGGACTAATTTCGAGCTCGCCAGGGGCTCATAATCAGGCGTGCACTTTACTACATCTAACCAATTTGGCTTTAGTAGCTTTAAACTAGTCAAACAGTTACGTTATTCAGCCGAGCCGTATATTGACATGAACAGAGTTCTTATGTACTTGTCTTAGTACACCATTTTATTCACACTTAGGCCTATGACATATTGGCCTTACTTAATTATAGCTTAAGCTTCACTTGGCGCCTTAAACACTCGTTGTTGCCATCCTTCTCTTTCAATGAATTTCAGTCTGATACCTCCAATAGGTGCAGTGATTATAGACCGCGGTTCGAACTGTAGTTTCTCGCTCATTCCCGGTGCAAGTTCGACGCGATATTTCTTGAGTATCGTTATAATTCCTGCTGTTATCTGCATCTTTGCGAACCTCATTCCTGAAAAGAAAAAAAGGAAGATAAGTAACGCATACCATCAGAATGTGCGTGGAAAAGGTACGCGGTGGTGGACTCGCTTAAAATGTGGGAGAGCCATGCCTTGGCACGAATGAGCCGGCTTAACCAAAGTCATACCGCGGCCTCACAGAAAACCGACGTGAAATGCTAGTATCCCCAACAATCTTCAAATTCCTAATCTCCAAAAAGGCCGGTGACGCACTTGTAACGCCTCTGGTGTCTAGTCCGATTGCTTACCATCAGGTGATGCATCTGCTGGTTTACCGGCTTATTCCATAAAAAACTCATCCAATGTAACATAATTTTTGACAGTTAAATTACGAATTTTCTATTCTCTATTGTCTTTATTGCAGCAGGTGCCATGACACTTCTCATTATTGAAAAATCGACTAGGCTTACACCCCAATACTGAAAGGCTACTCAATTCTAAGTTGTACTGAAATATCGTGCCATCTCTGTCATTTCTCAAAGAACTTGTAGTGACAGAACGATACATAAGCAGCACTGGGTATAGACGGAGAGCCTCATCAACAAAAGCTTCCACATAAGGCAACTCGATAACACGCTCGTACTTCAACACGTTATCAAGTGCGACGCTACTAGTTATCTTGAATCAATCATTTATTATTTGTAGTCTCACAACATGTACACAATGTTTTGATATTTTTTTAAGGTCACTGTAATTACGAGCATTATGATAATATTTCTCTGATAACAGTCACTTAAATATAATGAGATTACTTCTCATTAAAGAAAATAATATTTATCTACATGAAGATAAATCTTCATAGTCGTAGTGGCCCGGAGGTTTAAGACGCCCGCTTCTCATGCATGAGGGTGTGGGTTCGAAACCTACCAACAGCAAGTACCAATATGACTTTTTCCGAGTTGTATGTACTTTCTAAGATTATTCAGACACCACTGACAGGACAGTTTGTAATCGCCAACCAGCATTGAGTAAGCGTGGCGATTAATGCTCAAACCTTCTCCGTGTGAGAAGAGGCTTTGCTCAGCAGTGGGCACTTATAAGCTGTTGATAATGATGATGAAATCTTCATGTAAATAAATATTATCTATACTTATACCACGACGGTGGCAAAAAGGTACACGGCCCACCTGATGGTAAGCGGTTACCGTGGCCTATGTACGCCTGCAACACTTGGGGCATTACATGCGCCTTGCATACCCTTAAAAACCTATTCACGGGGAGTGAATAGGTTTTTTGATGAACCCCATGTTGTAGCCCCATGTTTTTATGTTTAAATACTATCAATGACTTTATGATACTAGTTTTTTTCGCGGGAGATCTATGCTTCGGCATCTTGTTTGAGTGTGTTTAGCATCAAGCAATGGGTCGGCACGATCAGACAAAATCTAATAGAGATGAATGAGCTAGAAAGTCCAGCGTTAATCTTTCCTGAACTTCGACACTGTTGTTATGTAATTAATAATTTTCCATAGGAAATAGTTGATCAAATGTTAAAACACAATTCAATTCTAACTGTTAGTTTCTGAAATTAACGTATAAGGGACAAAACTGTACTGAAAAATATTTTCTACATCGTGCTAAATTGTAAACAAATTTATCGCATCTATCTATATAATATTTCTATATACCTAGACATCTTATCAGTGATTACGCAATATAAAATAGGTTTTTTTTTGTTGAATGAAACTACAGATAATTTAAGTAAGTAGTACCTACTGCCAATTTCAAATCTTATCTATCAGTAGCGATTTTGCTAGTACAGAAGTTCTCTGTGAATTTATATTACAGTGACATTGGATATATTATATCAAAAACTAGCGACCCGCCCCGGCTTTGCACGGGTGCAATATGCATGTATTATACATACAAACCTTCCTTAAGAATCACTCTATCTATTAAAAAAAACCGCATCAAAATCCGTTGCGTAGTTTTAAAGATCTAACCATACATACGGACATACAGCGAAAGCGACTTTGTTTTATACTATGTATTGATTGATATGATAATCTTGATCATATGTTCAGTTTTATCACTTAAATGACATTTCGCTGATTATCAGCACACACACAAAGTCAGATACAGTTGATTTGACTGATTGAAATTGATTTGATGGAATTAAAACAAATCTAGAGAACAATTTATTTAAGTACTATTATTGATTGAACTCTTGATGTCGTGGTGGCCCGGAGGTTAAGACGTCCACTTCCCAAGCATGTGTGGTTTGATACCTCCCAACGGCAAGTACCAATGTGACTTTTTCCGAGTTATATATATGTACTTTCTAAGAATATTTAAACACCACTGACAAACGATAAAGGCAAACATCGTGAGGAAACCTAGACTTGTATAATTTCTAAATATAAGTTTGAAATCGTTAACACGCGATGAGCAAGCGTGGTGATTAATGCTCAAGCCTTCTGCGTATGAGGCTTTGCTCAGCAGTGGGCATTTATAGGCTGTTGATGATGATGATGATCATCCGTTGAATAAGTGTGCAGATTTTGATGAAGTTGTATTTATTGAATTTGCATAGTAACTATCTAAACATTGAACATTCTGGGTTTCTAATGGTACCTGCTTAGTTAGCAGGACGGTTTTATGAATGATGATGTATATTTTAAATCCGGTTTTGAGTATATATCCACATTAAGTAAGTAGGAGTAAATATTATTATAGTTATTATATTTGTTCGTGACGTACATGTACTTCAGTATTTTGTTTGATTTAAGACCACGGCAACGCTCACTTACTATTTTATAAGAGTTTAAAATCTTTGGCTTTGTGACATTTTAAACTTTTTTTAGTCTCTCATAGGGCTGGATTAATATATCTTAAGGCTTTTAAAGATCCAAACAATCTCTTGTAGCTATATTTTTAAAGGCATTCTAATATATAACCAACTGTCCAACTTTTTTTAAACCTCTATAATTCTTATATATACATAGAAAATATATGTATTTATGTACTAAGTAACAAAATTGAACGTATATTACTTTGTTTGACTTTGTTATAACCGGTCCCAATTTTGTTTACAAATTATATGTTATGTATTATATTTACTCGTTCCATTATCACAACGGTGCCTCTATTAGATATTTTTTGCTTAAGTTTGCTTTAGTATCTTGATTGACGAGTGCGTGTTATAATATTAATACTGCTTAGTCATTTCAATAACATATATTTCTAATATTCATGTCATTGTTATTGTTTGGTCTACGTTTTTGTTGTTGGCAAGGCAAAGCCAGACGTATAGACATATGTAGAAGATCCTAAATTGGTCAAATGTAAAGACCCTGAGGTACTCCTGAAAAGCTAGTATATTAAAGTATGAAAGTAAATGAAACTTACCGATACATAGTCGAGGTCCTTCGCCGAATGGGAAGTATGTGTACGGCGTGATGTTATTCTTCTCCTCACCCAGGAACCGCTCCGGTCGATATTGTTCTGGTTCCGGGAAGTGTTTAGGGTTGTGTTGCATGTGGTACACCGGTAAATGTACGCGGAGTCCTTTTTCCAATTTCAATCCTGTCGAGAATGTATAGTCCTCAATGACCTCCCGAGTCAGGACTCCCAGCAGTGGGTATAGACGGAGAGCCTCATCAACACAAGCTTCCACGTAAGGCAACTCGGTAACACACTCGTACTTCAAGACGTTATCATTGCGACGTAAGTAATTATCCACATCTTGAATCGCTAACTCTTGAGCTTTCGGATTCTTTGCCAACTCATATAAAGTGTAACTCATTGTAGTTGCTGACGTCTCATACCCGGCAGCAAAGAACAGGAAACATTGTCCAATCAAAAATTCATCGTCCACTTTTAAAGTAACTTTCTCTTCTGAATCACCCTTCATGTTTTTCATACTATCTCCAGTCACCGTTTTATTATTGTAGAACTTTAATAGGAGGTCAACAAAGTCGTTCCTTGGTGTCGGCTTGTAGTTGCGTCCTTTGAAAATACCAGTCATCAGATTGTAGAAAAAGTTATCAACGTCAGCGGGGAGTGATTTACCTCCACAACCATAAAAAATGGCTGGCCAAATACTTCTCATCACAACCTTTAATGCTCTCAGCCTGGCAGTATCGAAGATAACATCACCAATTTTTGTGAATGGATTATTTTCAGTCTTTACCATGGTCCAGGTCTCAACTCCAAAAGCACAATTTCCAATGGCATCCATAGTGAACTTTGCTGTCAGGGTTCGGACTTCAATATCTTTATATTTCTGTACATCATGATCGATCATGTTCTCAAAGATACGGGCACATTTCTCGATCAAGTGGAACATGTTCTTCATCTTGGCGGATGAGAACAAAGGCGTAAGATTCTGACGCAGTACCTTCCACCTGTCACCATAAGTGAAGAAAAGGTTTTGCGTTAACGGTTCATTTTTACTGTATGCAGAAGCTTCACGGCCACTGAAGAAATAGTAGTCCTTTGTCATGACAGTCTTGATGAATTCAGGATCTTGTACGATGAGGGCCGGTTCCGTGCCAAAGTAAGAGCCAACATAAGGTTCTTCAGGGAACTTGTCGCAGATTTCCTGTTCCACATGTCCATAGTATTTCTGCTGGAGAATGTATTCGGAGAAATTACCCAGAATTGGTTTCGGTGGTAGGTGTGGCACTTTCTTCTGTTCCCAGTACCGGAATTTTCGTTTTGATACGAGGTAAACCCCGTACAGAGCCAGTGGTATGGCGAGCAACAGATACAGCGTGATCATGTTTGGAGGCGTGTGATAATTGTGAGTACTTCGTTTCGGTATTTATAGTGTGGTAGTAGATAATGACTTATGTACTCAACGATGACAAGGAATTATTAATACTTTAGGACTTTTCCTTATTCTTTTGTTGATTAGGACAAAAGATAATAAGTAATAGTTTATTTTTTTAAGCTATTTATTTTGGTAATATTATTTGAAAGAATTTTTCTAAGCGAATAAGTAACATTCTTTAATTATTTTAATAGGCATAATAATTTATTAAAGTATTTTTAAACAGCCTTTTTGGACTGCAACCAAAATTCCATAAAAATAAAATATTATTCAAATGAGATCTCTGAAATAAAATGAATTAATTTAAAAACTTTAATAATGTATGAGTTTATTTACAAATCTAGGGGTTCCCTTAAAATTTAAGGAAGGTCGATCAAAACGAGATTCATAGTCATGTGGCTGATAATATGATGGTGATAATGATGATGGTGATTAAAAAGAAACCTTTCCACCACAATCTTTTTTAAAAACGTAGCCTTGTACTAGGATTTTCTCCTGTATCATGGGTGTATTACAAATATACAAGTTCACATACACATGAAACTAGACCCGGAACAACAATCTGGGGATCCACCACTACGCCAACTTTTGAAATCAAGTAATTTATTTGTAATCTCAAAATGATTGTCTGCGTATCCCTAATTGTCTCGTGTCGTAAATCTGTTAAGATTTCCACAAGTCATCGTGAAACGTTTCAATGTATTATCGTGGAGCGTTGCTCGGTATGTTTTTTTTCGACGCAAATAACATTTTGTTACTATGCTGTCACTATACATATATAGTTACTATAAAATAATATAAATGTGTGGTTATTTGTTTGTTTGTAACTAGACAGTTACATAAATTTGTATGCGAATGAATACATTAATGAAAAGACTGATGCCCGTTGTGTTGGCCGAGTCGGTTGGTCGCAAGTGTGACGGGGGCAAGGGGCCTCAGTTCGATTCCGAACTCCGGGACGGGTTTTAAAAAAAATCTCAGTTGTAGCACAGAGTGGATCTGGATGTGTCCGATATATGGCAATAGGCTCACCCCATATTACATGGGACTCATAACATAAATAGTTTTAATGACTAGTTTTTTAAAGAACTTATGGCGCTGACTTCTAACCTATCAGTGGGTGGGTAACCTATCTACCTATATATCAGTACTAATAATAGTTATTTTTTGGTTTTTAGTTTTTGACTTTTGTTTTATTAGTTTTTGGTTTTGTTAAGTCGGTTTTTTAAAGCAGTTTTTATTTTATCATTTTCAGTGTACAGCTATATAGATCCGTTTTGTCACTTATAATCTACATAGGTGCAAAGTTCTAATCAATATAAATTATACGAGCCCAAACACAAAGTAGTTATTGTATACCGTTGAGGAGTTCTCTCGACTGTCTGTCGGCTCCAACATTAGGTCGACTCCAGACCCTTATCAAATTGTAGTGTTCAAAAATCCTAATTGAAAAACATAATAGACGCATTATTCGCTCCTATTCATCATCAGATCCTAACCTCGTGGAAATGGGACCATCTCGAGAGTATACCCTTTTAAACAAAACAAGAATTTTGGAAATCAGTTCACAAATGGCAGAGTAATCGGCGAACAAACAAAAAAACAATTAGCCGAACATAGTACTTCCTCCTTTTTTTGAAGTCGGTAAAAAAGTGGGTGTTACATTGTACAGTGGCATTAAGTGCCGTAATATGCACCTCTGCCTACCCATTCGAATATAAAATGCATGATGTTATGTTATGTATTATCTCATGAAAAAATGTGCGATACGAACATAAACATAGGTAGGTACACTATTGACATAATGTACCTAAAGGGTAACATTTGTAGGATCAGTTCCATCCAGGGCACCAATTTGAGGATAACCTATAAACATAACTCAAGATTCAAGTTTGTGTGTACTTGAGACTTGTACACCACATATAACGAACGAGGAATCCAGTGTGACATCGAAAATACAGCATTCCGGTTGTAGCTACCTTCCAGAGCAAAATATAGGTAAGTTATCCTTAAGGTTGTCATGCATCCTCATTCATGAATGCCAATCTGTTGTTGAAACTAGTCGAACAACCTATACTAACAGTTACGAAGTGTATAATCAATTCAAAACAAATCCTCTACAGTAATATTTTTTATCTACAAAGACTACAAACATGCAAAGTCATGGCGGAACAGTTAACAAGTTGATTAACGACATTATAATAATAATATAAGAAAGAACATTGACTACTAAGAATGACGTGGCTAATTTTAAAGATCGTTTTATCGTTAATTATTATTATTTAACTATATCTTCACTTGTGACTATCACGAGTATCTACTTAATATTCTGCAATATAAGGACTTCGTGTTATTCATGTGACCACTAGACAATTGATAGTCTTATTATATTAGACCACTGTAACGTTGGCCTTTATATTGCAGCCTCTACGTCAGGGTGTGAGATGGAAATGAGATTCGAATGCGCGAAAACTATAGTGAAAACGTTTATTAACTGGACTGGTGTCTATAAAACTACACAAACAGGGGTTAACTTAAAATTAGGTAATGTAACTTGGTGCCTCGCGGAATAGCGGCTATGCGCTCTCGCGGCTAGTTGTCCACTGTCGTTGGCGGGGTTCGCTTTCACTCCGTTAAGGGTGCGTCCGAGCAAAGACAATAAAGGACCCTTGCGCCACATCTGGGCCGCAGCTGGGCGGTGGTATGTCTCGCCGCCATGAGGCATGCGCCCAAACCTAACTATTAACCCCCGTGTTACACCACTTGAGTGATCTAATAATTGGTTAGTATTCTAATCAAATATTTAAAAAATACTAACCAAATAAAGATAATAAATAAAGAAATAATATTTAAATTACATTCTACGTTTCAATGTTACACCGTGAAAGGTAAATTTAAAGCTAAATATTTTAAATGGTGAAAAATTGTTCAAATCAACTCAGTAGTTTTGGAGCCTAATCAATGCAAACAACCCAACAATCAAAACTTTCCTTATTACAATACTTAATATCGACTATTAGATCTACTATCAGTTTCTCTCAAACCTTATCTGCCACTTATAATTACTGTATTGTCATTCAGTTTACGTCAATTGAACGATTGATGATGTTGAACTTGTGGTTGAATGACTGACTTCAGTACCTTTCATACTACTGTCATAAGGGTATTTTTAATTGAATCGACACGAAACGTCTAAATGGATAGAACTCTTGATCTCCGGCCACCGTAGGCACGGGTCTGCCGACTGACCTGCCGATCTTCTTCTGCTCTCTACCTTCGCAGACGTAGCTCAATAGGGCTGATGCCCGATGTGAGCCGCGGAGGACTTAACGGGTTGTCGGGGCTCTGACTCGAAGAGCAGGAGTAGGAACGGGGTGGTTATTAGTCAGTAAGAATATGACACTCTCTCTCGCCTCACCCGCCTCACTCAGGCGGGACAAGTCATTGGATGATTTCCCCCCTTAAAAAAAGTAGTAATTATCACGTGTTCGACTACCACATGGAACTGTCATTTTGTGTTTGTCATATTTGTTGTTTAAAATAAACGAAAATCCGATGGTGGACAGAGCTAGAAGAGCCCCTTGATATCAGACTATTAGAGGCTCTAGACCATGTTATTTTTGTTAAAAGGAAGTTTATTAACTAACTCGGTTCTATACTGGTATAGGCAATTTTTTTTTTCGAAAATACACGCTAATTAGATAATAACGAAATCTTCAAAATAAATGACTGCCTCGTTGGCCGAGTGGTCGCTAGTGCGACTGCCGGGCAAGGGGTCTCGGGTTGGATTCCCCAGTCGGGCAACAATAACTGGGTTTAAAAAAATTCTCAGTGGTAGCACGGAGTCTAGAATTGTGCTCGGTATATGGAAATAGGCTCACCCCCTATTACATGGGACTCATTACACAAGTGAAAAGTGGGTGTTACATTGTACAGTGGCATTAAGTGATGTGTACCTCTCCCTACCCCTTCGGGGATAAAAGGCGTGATGTTATGTATACGTATGCTTCAAAATAAAGTATGTTTCAAATAGTAATTGAGTCTTATTTTGCCTACTCCCTCAGATGTAAAAGTCGTGTTGTTATAAAAAACAATTACTGAAAAACTATATCTTAAATACTAGCCAGGTGAAACTTAATGTGTAGATACCTAATCTATAAGGCCCTATCAAAACAAGATAAAATTAAAGATAGATCCTGATTGATTATAATAGATATCTACCTCTATTATCATTAGGTAATTATCATATTACATTTTTTTATTCTGAATAAACTAATGTAGATCGTATTTATAACGGTAATCCCTATATTTAAATTGAGCTGTTGATAAAATATGATAATACTTAGACTTACGCAGAGCCGCCTTTATCAAAGTCAAAATCAGGAAGGCACTTTTGAACGTCAACAACAAAAAAAATTTAGAAGTGAAGCTAGTTGCTCATTCCAAGGTGTAGATTCCTATGGAGAAGAACGAGCTAGAAACTCCATAGGTTACTCTTTTTCAATCGGGTTCACAATACAAATTCTCTAGTTACATAGTTTTGTTGGTTCGATTGTGTGAGAACCATGCAACACCTAAATGCAGTCAAAGAGATTGAAAAGAAAATAACCTTGAGGACCATAAATCATACAGTCTGGAGCTGACCAGTCCCAATTGACGGCGCCCGTTCTTGTCTAATTTAATTTAATCAATACATAGTATAAAACAAAGTCGCTTTCGCTGTATGTCCGTATGTATGCTTAGATCTTTAAAACTACGCAACGGATTTTGTTGCGGTTTTTTTTAATAGATAGAGTGATTCTTAAGGAAGGTTTGTATGTATAATACATGCATATTGCACCCGTGCGAAGCCGGGGCGGGTCGCTAGTTTAATATAAAGCCTTAGTCTGCGCTGGAGCCCTTGTGTACATAACATATTCGGGGCCCTTCTCAAATGCTTTTATGAACGTTACACCACACTAGGATTTTCTCCTGTATCGTAAG